TTTTTTGCTGCTTTCAAGAAGTTCTTGTGTTAGAGAACTGATGTATAAAATAATAAGAGAATTGTCCCAAATGAAATCTTAATGAATGTTTTCTATGTTGCACCGATACGGATACGGCGACACGGATACGATACGATACGGATACGGGACACGTCAATTCTTGAAAATACAGGATACAGGTACGGCGCGGACACGACATTATAATTTATAAATCATACATAAAAATTAAGAAAGCAATCAAAACATAATATTTGAAATTACAAAAAAATGGCAACAACATCATTTGTAGCATTGTAGCTTATAATATCAAAATATAAGTACGTATTAAATGTCTAGTAGAACAACAAAAGTATAAACATAAATTATCTAGCACATGAAGTTTCAACTATTCAATAGAAGGAATGATATAATTATCTTCTTCATTGGTTTGTCTTTGAACTGTCATATCATCTTCAATAAATATCATAGCTTCTAATTCAGGCTCATCAAGTGAAAGATTAATAATTTTTAATATTTTCATATCATCAAGAGACTCAAATCCATCTCGGAAATGAGAGAATCTTGCTCGCAACCGCGGAAGTAAATACGACACGCCTTTTTTTCGGATTTTTTTTGTTTTTCAACGGACACGCGTATCGGACACGCGTGTCCTTTTGAAATTAAATAGTATTTTAATTGGATACGGCTTTGACGTATCCGACACGTATCGGTGGAGTATCGGAGGCGTATTCGTGCATTGCTGTATCGGATACAGCGCGCCTTCATAAATAGGTGTATCGGTGCAACATAGAATGTTTTAATAGCAAAACTCAATGATGGTAAAACCATCTTGATCTGAGTCTAATTAGCTTAAATTAAACACTCCATATATACATCATGAGAATGTTAGGAGAAAAAAATCTCCAAATCTTGCATGTTTTTATAATCTTGCATGTCTCCAAACTTTGTAATAATATCTTATTTAATTTAGGAAAAAAATTAAGTTTTGTAATCCTTATTTGCATGTTGGATTATTTTAATCAGGAAAAGTTCCCATATTTTTTCATTAAAATTCTGATTTATCTTTCGAACTTCATATATGTGCACAAATCTTTATGCAACACTAGGACAAAAAATTCTTACACAAAGAAAATATTTTTATATTTGGGAAACTTTGCATCTTATTACATGATTGAATTTTGATCTGAGTTGGCCTCAAAATAATTGAATTTATTTTTAAATGTGTATTATAATATAAAAAATTAATTAAAATTTTTATCACATCATCTCAAAATAAATTCACAAATTGTAAAATCCATTTTAAATAAAAAATTCATAATTTTAATGATTGGTAATAATAGAGATAACAGATTGAGATGTTTTTTTTTTTTTTAATGGTGCTGCACCTATTTATTGCTCTTTTATTAATAACGATTATTGTATAAGGAAAAAATGCTTTTCTGTCAAATTTATAGATTTTTTATTTTATTTTTTTAATGGGTGGGATCAATGGATGGGTGACATTTAATATGTAAAAATTATGTGTCATTCATTCAATGTCCTGAAGATTTTTTCTTACTATATTTGGAGCACCATAATATTATTCATTACAAAATTATTTAACATTTTTTATATTTCTGCCATCACATAAAAGGAAATTATTGACATAGAAAGATAAAGCCCTCAATCTCTGTTAGCTTCAAAATTTCTGCTGTTGAATTTTATTCTAATATAATAAAAAATATTATGTATATATTGTTTGTCATTTCTATTTTAATATTTATTTTCATTAGTGCCCTATATTTATTAATATTTAGAATTAGACACAATTTTAAGTTTTTTAGCAAAAGTAATTATTACTTGTGCTATTGCATTTTAAATTATTAAAAATGACAAACCTAATTTAAATAAGTTAATTACATAAAAAATTAAACATATTAAAATTAACAAATTATTAACATAAGTTAAACTAATATATTTGGGATCAAAATATTAACATTTAATAATTATATGATAATTTATAATCTAAAAATAAAAAAAGGGTTTTTGAACAGTGAGACGACCATATTGGCGTCACACTGTCTACAGTTGCAAAAATGCGTATGCATATGTTGCTAGGGTGGAGGCTTGTCGGAACTGCTAATGATCGAATAGAGTTCGGCTGGAGATGCCCTAAGCCTCTAAAAATTCTAAATGCTTTGAGAACTCTTAAAAATTGTTCTAAGATTACAACAAAATCTTCTATCAAAATTAAGCTAAATATTTGTAATTATTTAAATTGCATTAATCCTTATAATTTATCATATTGTATGAAATGGAAAAAATTATTCTTGCACTTATCTTGACGAAAGTGCTATTGTCGGCCAATAATTCATAGTCTTTGAGAGATTTGTAAAGTGAAAAGATATATGGAATAAATTAGAAGTTGAAAATATTGGCGTCCCAATGCAATTGCATCAAGAAGGATTTTACGAAATTTGAATTTACGTTGTTGAGATTAGTACGCCATATATATTTTTAGGAAGGATGAGCACTGTAATTTGCCTTATTAAGACTCAAATTTATTTCCGAACAATTTTAGTGGATATTTTCTGGATGGCAAGACCTCTTTTAAGTCATTTCGTGATGCTTTATCAAGTAGCTCTTCATCTTTTCCTTACCTGAAAATCACTACTCAATGTGGTTTGCCCTCTTTGTGGATTTCAGAGGTCGAGATTCTTGCGCTTGCTGCGTCGTTTGATTTCGCTTTAGTTGGAAAATTTCCTGCCCACAGGCCTTCCCTTGAAGCTATTTGGAAAAAAAAATTCAACCTTAAAATAATCGATGATTTTCTGTAACTGTTCTCAATCCGAAGCATGTCTTGATCAAGCTTTTGAACAATTTGGATTACTGCCGTGTCTTTGCACATCGCTCCTATTTTATCAGCAATTTGTACATGAGGTTGATTAAGTGGTTGTCTTCGTTTGATGTTGATGTTGGTCACCTGTTATTCCTATTTGGATGTCTTTCCAGAATTTGAGACCTCATCTTTTCACCCCTAGGATTCTTCATGGCCTCGATTTCATATTTGGCCGTCCCCTTAAAATTGATCATGCTACCTCTACTGGCTCTAGACCCTCGATTGCACGTGTTCTGGTCGAATTAGATATAGCCAAATAATTTACTGATAATGTGTGGATTGAACCATATAATTTGGGTTATATCCAGTCGGTAGTTATGGAGGACATTCTGTCGTATTGCTTTCATTGTAAATCTTTGGGGTATTCCAAATCAGAATGTCATATCCTACTCCCACATTTGTTAAAAGCTCTTACTAATGTGGGTGTTGTTCCTCTTGACACTGAGCCAGTAAAAAGTGCTAATAAAATTCCTTTGTTTGTTAATCATGCTGATTTTGTTTCTAATGACATTTTGACTTCTGGTGTGGAGGGGCATTTGGTTGTGCCATCTACATATGTTGTACTTGATCCTCATGAGCAAGTTGTTAATGGGATTGATGTATCATTGACTGATGCATTCCCGTTAGCACCTTCTTGTGGTAATAATGTGGATTTAGTTGTGAATTGTGAGGCTCATTCCACTAATATTATTGAGAATGTTATTGAAGTTGGTGAATCTAACAATTGCTTACTTAATTTGTTAGTTTGTCCTAGTGACACTCCTGATCGTATTGTTGATGTTAACATGGGTAAAATTGCACTTTCTGATGACTTTGGGGATCGTGTTTACGTCTTAGCTACGGGTGGGATCTCGTTTTCTACTCGTGCTTCAGGGGTTGCTTGAGTTTCGAACAAACTGGTGGATGATGTGAGTTATGGGGAGGATTAGATGGAGTTGGGGGGCCTTTGGTTGATATGCATTTATCTATTATTTTCATAGTGGGGATGTTAGCTCACCTTGCTAGGGACAATGCATTGGGGCAATGTGATTGGTTAAATGATGTCAATTCTTCAGCAGGAGGGGATGAAACTAATGAGTTATAATTGGAGGCTCAAGACAATTTTGACTTAAGTATTCTTCAAATTGCAGATGCTAATTTTTTCAAAAAGAGTGTTATAAAACGTAAGTCCAAAAAGAAATGATTATTCTTTTTTGGTATTTTTTTGGCTTTGGTTTTGTTGATTACTTTTGGGTTTGGATTATTTGCGACGCTGGAATCAGGTAAGGATAATGATGAAGTAGGTTTCCTGCATGCACATTGGATGGCCATGGCTTGGTTGGCAACCTAGGTGGAATTTTTCACTATCCATTTTGGTGGATTTTTGAATTTCGGCTATTACCTTCTCTTTTCCTCCTTGGATGACCCAAGCTTGGCAACCAAGTAGCGGTCTGAGTCTTTGTGACTTTTTGCATTCAGACTGTTTGGCTCTGACAATTCTTGCATTCCTCTGGCTGTAATCTTATACTCTGTGGCCTTTTTTTTTGTTTTGGCCCTCTGGTGTAATGATTTTTATATCTAATGAAATTCTCTTTTGGTTAAAAAAATTAGTGTGCTAAGAGTTTGAGTAAAGATTAGTACTTCATATGATATAAAAAAAAATTGCACTAATCTAAGTGCAAAATAAATGTTGTTTAGCCCTTCTTGATTTAAATCTCATCTTGATATTTTTATGCAACTTTTTCTTAGATTTTTTTTTTAATATTGACATAAAATAATAGTCATTTGATTTAAAAATGGTAAATGATTGAATTATCTACATTTTATATTAATAATGCTATAATTTTTAGTTTTGAATGTCAAAATAAAAAATACATGTCTTATTATCCTAAAAATGTAATATATTCTTAAAATAATTTTGCAAAAACATATCTTATTTTTATATTAAATTTGAATAAAATTTAATAAATGGGATACATAATTTATAAATTTTATATTGATATTAGTCAATACTCAATAGTCTTAATTTCCAAAAGGAAGATCCGACAAAAAATGCGTCCGATTCGGACATCCGACAAATTTTTTTTTCCGATAAACTTATTCGTAATAATAAATAAGTTGTTAGCGTTCTCGTGGACGAATTCGCGGCCGAGAGAAATCTCCGCCGCGATGAGAAGCTCAGTGTTAGGGTTTAGGGCTCGGAAGTGCTGATATTTATAAAAATTATTGGAAAAAAATGTTTTTTTTTTACGACTGGAAACTTTTGGCTTCTTCCTTTTACAGCAGAAAGTGTTCACACTTGAAATTCCTCAGTGGGAGGCCTTCCTGACGAGGGAGGCGATGATAAAAAGCGAGCCGCAAGCTCTCCATTTTCTTTATCTTTGTTTACTTCGTTTTGCTTTTCATCATTTATCCTTTGCAGAATTTTATCTTTCGTGCTTGGATTTTGTTCTTAGGATTAGATCCATTACCCCTACCATAAGAAACCTAAATTCAGCTTTTTATGTGAGCTTTCGTCTCATGAGAGTAACCTCAAATTTTGCATCCGAGGCTATTTTCTCTCGGTTCTATTTATATTACAACGTTATGGATTGAAAGAGGGGGGAAAAAGAAGCCTAAGGATGGCTTGGCTCACAAAGAGCTTTGTTTTTAGGGAGAGAAGTTAAGCTGAACTATTTTCCTTCTCTGGCTATTGAGTTAAAAAAAAAATAGAGGTAATATTTTTTTTTAATATGAATCTGTTTTGTTGTTTTGTTGTGGGATTTGGCTTTTGCAGTGAAGTTATGGAATTGACTGTTTCAACAGATTATGGTGATGAGAAAATGGAAAGTAGAAGCAGCTGCAGTACTGCTTTGCTTTCTTGCGGTGGTGTTTTTGAGAGGAGTGGTGGCTCGCAGAGTTGGAGAGAACGGAATTTTGTTTCTTGATGAACAAGGTTTGTCATATTGTGCATTTTTTTTTTTAACTTTGTTCTTCGTTCTCTTTTTTTACGGTTTTATGTTTTTAGTTTTAAGAAGTTCATTTAATGTGTGGATGAATTTGAAGGTGCTATGATTCACATTGGGCTATATGAACATAAAAATGGCTCCTTTAAAAAAGCAAAAAGGAGATTGATGGATGAAAACTAAAGCAAGTGGGGGTTGCCGTAGGTGCTGTTTATAGCTGTCTTTGCAGAGAAGAAAAGAAAATTTTTAATCATATGCGGAGAAGAAAAGAAAATCCTAAAAATCTCATATGTAGAAAATCCTAAAAATCCACAAATTTAACTCAAAATCCTTAGCGCAAGCTGTTATCATGAACTCCTCTTCCCCGCATGTCGCCAACTCTGTTGATACCTTCCTCTAGTGATCTTCGTTGTGATTCCCTCACCTGATTAGTTGTGGAGAGTTTCAGGTTTTTGAGTAGGAGTTGAAAGGGTGAGTAGAAGTGGATTTTATTATTTACTCTAATAAGATCATCAATTGAATCAATTAGACATTAAGCTTAGCTTGTATTGTTAAGCATTAATAAAATTTTAATGATTTTGATTAAAATCTTTAGTAATCATTATTTAACTTTCATAAATATCTAATTTTCAATTTATCAGACTCATAAACTAAAAACAACAACAACAATGATAACAAGCCTTTATACCATTACATGAGGCTGGTTACATGAATCCTTTATATCCGTTCTGTCTTATTAAGAGTCAAATTTTCATTTGATTCTAATAAAAAAAATCATTTTTAGTACTTTTTAATCATTTTTTAAGGTCAACTCTATCTTTCTTAATAGTTAATAATAGGCGAGCTCTGATGTATCTTACTCATAAACCATTAGATGATAATTCTAGGAATTATTATCATAAATGAGTACTAATATGTTTTTGATGTTCTTAATTATATCACTAGTTAATCTTTAATCGCTACGTTTTGGAGCAAGCATTTCTAATCAATAGTTTTATTAAAATTTAACATCAATTATGTCAAATATCTTTTAGCATTTAACACTCACCTGCTTAATGGTATTTTGTTTTGGAAATCTCGATCTATTCTTCCACACATGGCTGTCTTGAGTGGGATGGATAGGAAGGTTTCAGAAAAAAAATTGGATCATGATATTCTGAGTTAATTTTAGCTTAAGGATGTAAGATATGTCTTCTTTAATTGCATAACATTTCCTTTTATTTTTGACATTGCAAAACAATAAAAAAGGCTATTGTTTTTTGTTTTCTTGGAAGGTGACAACATTCGAGAATCTGCTTTATCCCATAGAACCGAAAGGATTGACCCTTTGGATCACTTGAAAAAATACAGAGGAGGCTTTAATATCACAAACAAGCATTATTGGAGTGTAAGAACAATTTGTTAACTTCTGCTGCTCTATTTTTGCAAGCAAATCATGGAATATTTGAAACTGATATATTATATGTTTTTCATCTTCCAGTCAACTATATTCACTGGAAAATTTGGGTACTTTATTGCAGTGGCATGGCTCATCAGTGGTCTTATTTGTGCTTCAGTTTTGATCATCTCATATACTATCTTCTATTTTAAGGGTAGAAGTGAGAAAAAGAGAACCAACGTCTCTAAGAATGGCTACAATTGGTCTCTGCACGTTGTAGCTCTACTTACATTACTAGCAATGTAAGAAGCATGCTTGTACGATATCATCACCACAGAAACAAAATCAAATTTTCAAAGTCTGAGGAAATTTTTAATAATCTGTTAATAACTGACAGAATTGCATCTGGAGTGGCACTTAAAGGCAGTACTGGATTCCATTCAAGAGCCATTGAGATCGAAAATATCGTAGTACAAGCCACGAATAATGCATCGGGAACGATAAGTACAGTTTCAGAATCTGTTGAAGTGCTGCAGAATGACACACAGCTTAGCCAAAACGTGGAAGACTCTAGCAGTCTGGAGCTGACATCGAGGAAGCTTAATCATGAGGCGAGCAACATACAGATGAAGGCTGAGAAAACCTTGCAACAAGTTACGAAGGGGCTTGATATACTGTAAGAATCTTAATAAGAGCAAGAACAAATAAAAAGTATTATGCTTCGTTTGGATTTCTAGTACAAAATTTTCAAAAGTTGCTTTAAGAAGCAGTAAGAAAGCTATTTGGACGAAACTTTAGATAAAATTATTTGAACCATTTATATTGATATGCCATGAATGAGCTAGACTTTGTTGCAGGAATGCTGTGACTATTATTACCGTTATTCTAAACCTGCTTGTCATCATTTTATTGCTGGGTAAGTGGAACAGAATTCTTGCAGAAGTTGAGACATTAAAAAAAGCAAACTAACTTCAAATATAAAAAGCTAACTTTCGCATTATTGTGTTATCTGCAGCATTGATACCTTTCAGGCTTTGCCAAACACTTTGCGTGTAAGACTATTTTGTTTATTTGGATTCTGCTTCACAATGAACATAAATTTATTTATGATTGAAATGACTCAGCAACCAAATATTGCTTCATGTTAGGCTTATTATTCTTTGCTGGCTGATTACATTCCTTCTTTGGGCCTACTCTGGACTATATTATTTCTTTGGAAAGTAGGTTTTCTTATATTTTTCAATAATCATACATTTTTATCTTTTACTAAACATTTATATACTGCCTCCAGATTCGCTGGTGACATATGCTTGGCTTTAGATGAATACAGAAAGAGTCCAGAAACGAGCACATTGAGTACAATACTCCCATGCAATAACCATGGTTCAGCTGAGGCAATCTTCCGTGATGTTGGAGAGCGAATTTATGATTTAATTCAACAGGTGCTGCTTTCTGGAATATATGGATTAAAATATGCATTAATGTAAATTTAATTTCTGATTGAAGTGTTTATGCAGCATATTTTGTATGTGAAGCACAAAGTTTTTTGCAATATTGCTCTGCAATTTTGTTGGCTTCCAACATCATAAAAAATGGCATATCATGCTAGAAAAGAATCATCTTGCCTCAACAAATTAACTTTCAGTTGATACTAATTGATTAAAAGTTGAAAAAATTACAGTGAACTCAAACATAACATCTATTAGTTTATCAATTTAACTAATTTATTGTCTCCAACAGTATAAAATGCCAAATCAAGCTATAGAAAACACCTTGTAGCTGTTACTAACGGTAAATTAACAATTTGAAAAACTGCAGGTGAACTCAAACATAACATCTCTGAGCTTATCACTTTCAAAGCTAGAATATATCTGCAATCCTTTCTCTGGGCCACCTGAATACTACTACCATCCAGAAAATTGTTCTTCTAAAACTATACGAATAGGCGACATACCCAAGGCGAGTCTGTATTCATCTGTATGATCAAATTTCTCATAGATTTTTTTTGTTTTTAGTTTTTCAGAACTGGTTGAAACTTGAAATAAACTAAACTAAGTTTTCATAACAATTTATGAAGATCATAGAAAAGTTTGCATGCTTGGGGAGCAGCAGCGGAGCCTGCAAGCCTGGAGAATTCATACCTGCAAGCGTTTATGGAAAAGTTCAACTCTATACAGATTCCATGCAGGATATTCTGGATTCATATCCAGGAATGAAGAGCCTTGCAGATTGCAAATTAGTCAAGGATGCTTTCTCTGATATCCTTTTTAACCACTGCAAGCCATTGAATAAGTATGTGCACATGTGCTGGGCATCGCTGGCAACTCTTTCAACTATCTCGGTGCTTTTTGTTCTTCTCTATGCATCAGAAGCTCATCAAAAGAGTGAATTTCTTACAGTTCGATCAGTAAAGCTACATATGATAGTTACGAATCCATCACAAAATGGTGCAGAAATTGTTTCCAAGCATCAGAAGCAGAGAGGTATCGTAGAACGCAAGGCTTGAGAAGGAAACTGGTATGGATGAATATCATTGATAAAGAGGAAGAGGTACTTATATAGTTATATTACACTTAATGCCTAAAAAGGAAGATCAAAGTAGGAGCTTTTCATCTTTGTTTTGATTCAACAATATGATCAAGTAGGCTTCTCAAGGGATGGAGATGGATCCGAAGGATATCGTCCGCCCTTTCCTTCAAATATTTTCTTCTCTTATTTTTATATAACCACGTGGTTGGAGAATCTAACCATTATTTCAGGTAGAATACATCATGAGATAGTTTGATTTAAGTTTGAGTTGCATGTACATAAACCTTCATGTATAAGGAAAAAGTGAAGTCTGGTCCCTTCCTTTTTTAACTAGGAATTCCAACTGCAATGCTAATGAATATTTCACTATTTTCCTTGAACTTATATGTCTTTAATTAGGTGTTGATTACCAAAACCTCCTAGCAATATTGTAAAATGCTAGAATGTCCTCTTCTAATTGTAGTTATATGAGCTGAATCAGGGTTCTAATCAACATTTAGATTCCTAATTTGCGGTTAAAATATTAAGCTCTGGATTAAGCTCAATAACAAATTGAAGTATGATATATGAAAGTGAAAAATAGTCACATGTTGGTTGTCTACATGAGGCAAAATTATTTTGTGTGTCCCCCTGATGTCATCCGGAGATTAATCAGAACGCGTCACGCCATTTTTTTGCTTGATACCGGTACTCGGTAGTACTGGGTGTCGGGTGACATGGCGCATTCTGGTTGGTCTTCGGACTGTCCGGTGTCCGCACAGAATAATTTATCCTAAATGAGAGTTTGAGTTCGGAATGCATTTGGTACCAACCCAAGCTTAAGTTCTTAGTTTTGATTGTTGTTGATATGTTAATATAGTGAGGTCAACTTAGGCATTTGGTGATCCTTGTTATTGACAAAGTTGTTGACTTTTGCCTACTTGATTGTTGACTTTTTATTAACAAAGTTGTTGACATTAGGCATTTGGTGGTCCTTTTTATTGACAAAGTTCCATATTATGACATTGATATAGCCTAGATTCAGGCCAATAAATGCGGCTTCTCGTCTCAAGATCAAGGGGTACATGCCAAAGTGAGCTTTCTCGTCAATATTTCATGTATGCCTATGATAGATTTTGGATCATAATATGACACACATGTAGCTGTAATGACAGTAAAAAAATTGTCCCAAATATAGCCTAAGATTTTGTTTAGGATAACTTTATTATTGCTTCTTAAAGCAGCTTCTTAGTAAAAAAATTAAGCAACTTTAAAAAGCAAAAAAAAAAAAATCGTCCCAAAACGAAGCTCATACAACCTACATATCACAATTTCAAACCAACCAATGTCTATTCATGATTGAAATCGTTTATTTAATGTGACAAATCATGGACTTCACCACCTAAGTGGAATGATGGTGGCAATAATGGGATGGGAGGCATTAATTTTGACCTTTCAAAGGAGTGGATGAGGTGAATACTTGGAAAAAATAGGGGGTGACTAGGATTAATAATGGATGGGTTAATTGAGGAGGTGGAGATGTTCATTTGATTAGGCAATTATTTTGTGGACTGGGGAGGTAGAGAGTGCTTAGCCAAAGAATGTTAATGCTATGGCCCAAAAGATGGGAAGGCGATGAAGGTATAAAAATTTGTGTGGAAGTAATATAATTTTCATGGGAGTGCTATGAAGGGCTGAAAATCTAAGGGCACCCTAATGGTGATTGTGCTTACAATAGAGGTATCAATGCCTGGAGGATGATGCAAGAGTGTGGATGAGTGTCTGAGTAAAAGATAATGATATGGGGATGAGATTCGAGTATGTGGGTGAGGAGAAATTATTTTGTGTGGATGACGAACGCAATTTATCGTTCAGAGACCAAGCAGAATGTGTCACGCCAGTAGTATCGAGCTGGGCCGGATAACTGAGGGCTTTTATGATTAATTGCGATGAGTTGTTGGCAAATTGAGAGAGAATGCCTTGTCTTGAATTTGATGGATGATGGTGAAGATGGATGATGAAGGATTGTAGTGAATGGTGTGGGAGATGTAATTACAAAAAGAAAATTAAAGGAAAAAAAAAATTGCATCTCACCAATTGAACAAGTTGAATAAAAGTTATCAAGCTTGCAATCACAAAATTTTAGGCTTCGTTTCGGACAACTTTCTGATTGATTTCTAAGCTGTCTTCTTAGTGCAAATATTTCTTAAAAGCAACAAAAATATGTCAAAAATCATTTGAAATGAAGCCTAAATCAGTTATAAGTGATAAGTGCTAGATGATAAAATTTCAAAAAAGTTATGCAAAAAGTGTTCAGCTCCATTTCCATGCAGCAGGTTTCACTTCTCAAATAATATTCAGTATCGCTATTCATGTGACCATGGGCGGATTTAGTCCCCAACTGATTTGGCCGAATAAGCACATGAACAAAAGAAATATGGCTACCTTCGCAGCGAGCTCGTTGTGTTGTTGTCATTACTTACGATCAAACTAATGACTGGTGAGGAGGTGAGATTTCAGATTCGACATGAAGGAACGTCATCGAAGGAGGCAAAGAAGTTATTTATAGACTCGTTCAAATCTCTACATGTACTCGAAGGAGGTGAAGGAGAAGAGGAACAAATAGCGGAGATGAGAAAAGGTGAACCGACTCTGATTTCTTTATCTTTGTTTATTCTTTAAAAAAACTTCAATTTTTATTCAAATAATTGAATTTTTTTTAAATATATTACTGTTGATACGTCATCACAAAATTATCTTGATTGGGCACGAATCTCGAGGCAAAATCAGTTCGGAAACTTCAAAAATTAATTTCGAGCTTAGAGTCAAACTGAGCGTCTCGAAAATACGAACCCAACGATTCCAAGATCAACCCAATCCGAGCCCAAATGAGTCTGAATCAAGGGTTCAAAGCGCTGTTGGAAAGTTCAAACCGCAATTTGAGTTACCAAACGGTCTCCGATTTTGACGAGCTTATACTCGAATCGAACGGCTCGACGAGACGAATCCAACGAGCCCAAGATCACTAAATTCCGACATCATTAAGGCCTCCAAATGTCCAACAAACGGTGCACGATCGTAGGATTCAATATCGGCCGTCCATTTGAGAGAGAGAATCAATCCTATTGTTGTATTCGTTAAATAAAAAATCTGGCCGATAAGAGAGAACAAAAAATAAATTATTCACAGTATTAACCGAGGACAGATCTGTTAAGGTGGAAACAACTACAATGCAAGAAAATTAAATAACAAAAGTATCTCTTTGAGTTTACCAAGTTAAGAAAAACATGAATCCATTCCATATCTTTCTTATCAAATCAGATAGGCTTAATATAAAAATATATAGCAAAAGCCAAAATGCGGAGATAACGCGCAAGAGATAACGACATTAATCCTAAAGAAAAGTAATACAGCGTGGAAGCTTTGCCGTGACTTAACCGACGCAGAACGATGTTAGACTCAGATGTGATACGTTGTGAGATACGGCAGATACCGGGAGCGGACAATAGAGAGAGTTCCAGGCGAACGTCAGGTGGTATCGCAGCTCGCTATGCTCTGGATCAAACCCAGTGAAAAATTGGAGTCGTAAAGGAGCTTCAACCTTATCCTCGCATGTCGGCAGTAGAGAGAGTGGAAGATGGTGGAAGATGAGGGAGCTTCTCACAACGGTGAAGCTAACTCTGGGAAAAGGCGACGGCGCCTGGGTAATGCGAACTGGACTTCTCTATGCGGACAAAAAAGGCGTCGACAGATCTAGGCTCGTGTAGAACTTGAACAAGGGGAGTTCACATTTTTGATCTTCCACCATTGAGGTCTCGCGATATAGAATGCTGAGAAGTAAGCGAGAGAGAGGGCTGTCTTTGATAGACGTAACTGGTGACGGCTGTCAGGTTGAGACACCTGGGAGTCGTTCGTAGCTCGGTTGGGACTGTCAGAGGGACACGATATTTGGGAGGTGTCGCGGGCACATCGAAGTGCTCAGATAGGGAGTTCTGGATTTCGGTTGAATGGAGAAGACGAACTCGGAGGAGGTCGGGTCGGCCTCTTCGTGTGGGTTAAGAAGGGAATGAGAGAGTGAGGGAGCGGACAGGAGGTTTTGGTTTCACGAACTGGAGAGGAAGACCCCGGCAGGTGGTGGCTACGATGACGGTCGGTGAGGTTTTTGTAGGAATAAAAACTGGAGGAGATCGTAGCAGTTTTTTTTTTGGAAATGTTTTGGGAGGAAGGAAGGTTCATCAATAGTTGGGAGGTAAAGTGGGGGAGAGTTGTACGGTTTTAGTCTAACTGCAAATTAGTTTTGCCTAAAACCAATTTTTTATATGATTTTTGATTAAGAATATAACTATTAGAATTATTTTAACAAATTTTATTTAAAACATATAAAGATTTATTTTAATAATTTGTAATATTTAAATTAAAATAGAAAGTTGATGAACATTAACTATTGGAAATTACGGATTAGTAAATTTTGCTCTATATCTTATTTAGACTGCATGACGCTGGCTTGGGACACGCTGTACAAATCACCAGGGTAATGGGTCCTAATTAAAATCAAACTGGAATGTAAAGTTAGTAGGTATATTGCAGTATTTAATTTCATGTCAATGCCCTGAAAGGTTTAGGATTTAAAGGTAGTGCGGTTTAAAGACAGAGGATTGTTATAGCAGTTTAGTTGTGAGTTTGAAAAATAGAAATTTATTATAGATGTGATTTGCTGATTCGAGTTGAATGAATGATTCGAGTGCAGCGCGTCGGACGAGTCGTGGTAGGTAAGTCACGCGCCGGCTAAGGGAAATCTTGGCGGGTCGCGACATGCTGATACTAGGCTACGAAAAACCTAAGTACGTTAGACGTCCGCGAGTGGATTCTCGTGCGGGATTCGCGAAGCGCTTCGAATAATGAGGTTCAACACAAGGCCACGAGTGGCTCAAAATTTTAAAATTCCGGCACACTCCGAGTTCTCTATTTGCAAGCGTTGTAGACGGTAAACCTACGTACATCACATAGGCGATTATCTAAGCTGTCGAATGACTCGAATCAAAAAAGTTGGTCGTGATGGTGTCTGGTGGTGGTTCGATGATGTACAGCTGTTCATGTTGCGAATAGTAGTGTGCATAATTTTCTCATGCCTTGACACCCAGTCTTTTTTCACTTATGGGGTGTGCATGTACGAGTGCTCGACATTCGGCCAATATCATACGGTTGGCTGGCATTAAAGGTTATAACTTCATGGGACACATCTTAATTAGTGAAGAGACTTGAATGTTCACTAAGCCACTAGTCCCAAATGGTCAGCAAGAGTCGTGATGGGTGCAGCTAAAGGTTTCAGTGTCCGGACGGCACCGTGGGTCATCTTCAAGGGGGTACCAATTGCCTTTTTCTGAGCACACAGAAATGCAATGTTGAGCATTTTATGTCGGATAATTAGTTGCTGAGTGCTAAGTATGTTGAAAAGACGTTCCAGTCCACGATTATGTAAGTTTCAGAAGTACTTTTAGAGAGAACTCTTCATAGTTACCTCATCACGAGTAAAATATAGGGAGGCAATAAATGAGTACATGATCGCCAATGATTTTGGAGTGGTTTAGTCTTTATAATTTCTTGTAAGACTAACTGTATTATTTTAAAGGAAGATAGAAAGTGTTGAGAGATAAACTGTGGCCTTCAGTGATATCAATTACTCTTGTATTTTTCATTCTTCCCGGATTTTAAAAATGAGTTTGCTAGTTATTTAGTCCATATCTGGCTAATTCTAATATTAGAGTTGAGTGATAGAAACTACACTTTTGATAGATTGAGGTTAAATAAATGACTAAATCTAGCGTCCTATCTAATACTTCTGAAAAAAGATTGTCATCTCAATATTTATAGCTCTTCCGTATTCGCTACTCCTTAACTACATTCATGGTGGTTCATAAATAGTGTGAGGTGTATAAGGAAGATATTTAATTAGTTGTATTATAATATAACTTATTTCATATGAGGTACACCACCCGGTAATATAGAGATGACCGGGGCAATTGGAGTTGCTGCCATCAAATGCCTCGTATTGTTTCCCGATCATAGAGAATTTTTCAACTGCTTTAAGAATCTTAACGATGTCAGAATTAGCATCTTGGGCTCGTTGGATTGTCTTGCGAGCCGCTCGATTTGACTATAAGCATGCTATATTTGGATATCATTTTGTCTCTTCAAATAATATTTTGATCCTTCTTAAATGTGATTCGGCCCCTGATTTGGACCATTTGATAATATTAAAAAAACGTTTAAAACTTCCAGAAAAAATAATATATGTATTTATGCAACTATCATATTTCCATATCCTACTTTTATGGCAGCAACAAGTTTCAATTCAACGCTACTCTTGTCCATTTTACATAAGAAGGGCATGCCAATCATTTCACTTCTTCAACCTTGTCTTCGTGTCCGTTTAAAGCTACTGCAAAGGAGAAAGAAGACAGTTGGAAGACCAGTTGGATGAAAAAATATACATCCAATTTTTTGACTTCGAATATCCATAATAAAATGTGATCTAAAAAATCCTATACATGAGAATCCTATAAAAATTAATTTAATTGTTCAAAATTAATACATAAATTTGTAGAATAATCAAAATATGATTTCATTCTCTTCTTTCGTGCGTTTCTTGGCAAGTTGGTAGAACCATACCAAAAATTGCGGAAGATGAACAGTGCAACGCCAAATTGACGCACACCTTGTTCATCTGCAACAAATAGCGAAAGTTTTACCGTTCGGCTGGAGCTCACAAGCGAGTCATTCAAGCATTTGGAGTTCAGTTGGAGATGCCTTACAGCCTATTTCGATGAATTTCCAACAAAATTTTACTAAAAATTTGGCGATCTTAAGTGGAGCCGGTGGAAAACAGGCCGGAAATTTCTGCCAGTAATGTCTCCATTATTTCTGACATTCATTCAGCTAGGATTTTTCGTTGATCATTTTTTCGGAATCTATCCGCACAAAATTTGCCAAAAATATTAAATTTTCTTATAAGTATGTGTAGCACATCACCATCAACATCCATTGATTTGATCAAGCCTTCAGCTTCTCTTGAGATAACTCATATCCAATCAACGTTTATGCAAGCCTCTGCTTAGGGCTGCAAACGAACGAGCTGAGCCAAGTATGTGAGTGTTCATCGTTGTTATTCATTTAATATCAGGTTGTTCAAGTTGGTTCATGCTTTATTTCGAGCTTTATTATTTGTGTTCATGTTGGTTCATTTAAATTAATGAGTGTTCATATTCGGTTCATGTTCAGCTTCAAGTTCGTTCTTTAGTGCTTATCGAGCTTTAAAACAAGCAAACATGAACGAGTTATAAACGAGCTATACTTTTAGATGGTCATTTAACTTAACAAATGACGCTTTATCGAGCATGTTCGCCAACTTAATGTCGAGACGCTTTATTTATATTATTTACATTTATTAATTCTATAATCAAATATTAATTATTTTTATCAAGCTATTCACGAGTTCAAAATAGAATACGAATCGAGCTTAATGTCGAGCTTGTTCACGACTTCAAATGATGTTGTTCGGCGAACATAAATGAGCCAACGCATTAGTGTTCAAGCTTGTTTATTTTAGAATCGAGTATTTAAATATTGTTCAAAGTTTGGTTTGTTTAGTTAAATAAACGGTCACGAACGAGCTTTAATCGAAACGAATAACGAGTAGCTCGTGCAGAACGTTTGGTTTGGCTTGCTGCCGCATACCTCTGCTTGTTGAGGAAAATCCTTCCATCACAATCTATGTCAAAGAATCAGAAACACCGCTCAACGAGCTATGATTAAGGCTACATCATTTTCGTTTAGTTAGAAACATCAAAAGATTAGATTTTTTTCTTGACATATATCCTTCTTTAGAAAGTAGACGGTGATTCTCCCATATCATCGTTTAGCAAGTTATTGATTATCTTTGTAATATATCTCCGCTGTTAGTAAATAGTGCTAAACTTCAACCATGTAAGCTTATTTGACTCCTTATTATAATCATGTATATAAAGTTGTTACTATTATTTTGTCGCACTTTGATTTTTTTAGATTATTCCTTTGGACTTAATTTCAGGCCTAGACGATTTTTATATTAGAATAAAAAAACTGGAAATTTGAATTGCGGAGTGGTGGGCTCAAAATTCTTAAAAATAACTGTATTAATCTCTGACGACTTGAAACAATTTAAAACTTAAGATGTCTGCCTTACAATTAGATGATAGTAAAGCAATGAGAGAAATTATTCTCGTGTCAGAGTCTGGATGAGAAGAAACCAACATTCGGATATAGAAGTGTCATGACATGTATCAAATTGTCTGTACACACTGTTTGTAACCGTCACGTTCAGAGAACCTACTTTTCACAATAAAACATTGTCCGACACAAACACCAGAATAATATTCCTTCAGCAAAGATGGACCCAAATAATATAATATATATAATAACACTAATCATAGTTTAGTCTTAAACACAAATAGCTCAAATATGGGAGAGAATTATTATATCCGCTGAGGAGCTCTATACACAACACGCAATTACGTTTCGGTTTTTAGTAGGGTGTCAAAATTTGACACTTAAACCCGAAAAAATAGGTTCGGGTCAACCCGTTTTTAAATGGGTCGGGTTCGGGTTGACCGGAAACTCGCTGGTACACCTCGATTGACCCGTTTGATCACCCGCGCGTCAGGACAGGTGTCACGCAAAGGACGCACCGTCGCAGCGTGGGTCTCATCGACGTTAGGGGAGCGTTTGAGTCGGGTCCGATCCGCCAGTACTGCTCGTCATAGCGTTAGGTGTCGGCAATCGACATGTCGCCGCCTTCGGTCCAGGCGGCCAGCCCGCACAACCTCAGTGCCTCACTCTGTGCAGCATCCGGTTCTTGCCCCGAGCAGACCATCACTTCCCTATTCCGCACGCGCAACTCGCTTCGCCTAGCCTCCTCTTGCTGGGCGTGCCATTGCAAGCCTGCGGCGCTACGAGTGCCGCCACTAATCCGCATCCGTCAGGACTTGGCGTACCCGCCTCTGCTCTGCAGTCTCGCTCCGCTCCACAGCTATTCGCGGGTCGGATTGGTAAAGTAACCAATACTTGCCACGGGTCGGGTCTGGGTTGACAAAACTGACCCGTTTGCAAACCGGGTCGATTAGGATCAAACCGTTTACGGCAGGATCAATTATCAGGTTCGACTCGAAACCCGACCGTTGACACGAATTGACACCCATACTTTTGTGACATGTGATCAGTAAAAAGTATAGTTATATTCACAAACTGTACTTTTATTTTCACCGCTGACTTTTATTATTCACAGCCATAAAACCTAACAATTTCTTCGTATTTGGCTCCCCACGTACATGAAGATTTATAGATCTGCTTTATCATAACTTATAAAAACACGATTGAACTCCAAAACTTCCCCTCACGGTGAGGCCAACATCCAAATACACACAATCATACAAGCATGCACCTCTATATATCCCGCAAATTTACCTCCTTCCAAGCACCAAAAAATAGCACAACACATCACCAACACTTTTATCAAAAGACTCAACTAGTCAATATAAAGCAACAGGCAATGATGAGCTTCAACCAGATATCTTTGGAGCAGATGTTCTGCATTTTCGATGAGAATGGCGATGGGCGAATCTCGTCGGA